AGTTGCAACCAGAGTCACGGAACGGATTAAGTTTGTATCCCGAGGTACCACTGTATTTATTTATTCAATTTATATAGCCACCCATCTCACATTTGTGACTCTGGGAGGGCTTACAATTAAAACATAAACAGTACCAAAAAACAATAAATAAATAAATAAATAATGGAACCAACCATACAAACAATACAAAGTGAATATATCCATATAGTTTCGGGATACCTGATCTGAGCTGCAAACATTCAGATAACCATCTTGGCAAATGTGGTAGTAGTTTGCCACTGCTGCCTTCTGGGGTATTTTTTGCTATTTTTTTTCAAGCTGCAACTTTGATAGTTCTTCTTGATCTCTCATCCAAGTTCTAACCTGGACCGATCCTACTTGCCTTTCCACACCAGGCTACCCCTCTGGAAATTGATATGAAGTGTAAACTCTCCTTGTGCTTATATGATTTAACTCAGTGTTTTTCAAACTTGGCAACTTTAAGATGTGTGGACTTCAACTCCCAGAATTCCCTAGCCAGATCTGGACTGCCAAAAATTCAGATCCGGTAGCCCCCCGAATCATTTAGTATGTCTTTCAAAGGCTGGCCTGATACGCTTTGATTTCTGCCAGCGCCATGGGGCCATCAGGGGAAAGGAAGCCGGGTTTTCCATTAATGAAAGAGGCCCAGAACCGAAGAGCGCTCAGTTCCAGGTTGTGGTATCTCCCCGCTAATAGATCGATCTTGGTACGGCCCGTCCTACCTCCCCCCCCCGGCCGCTTTAATGGTAATTTCCAGGAAGCCCGGTGGAGACGGGCAAGCGAGCGCGGATTCCGACTTCGGGAAAGGTTTGGCGTTGGGGGTCCTTTTTCCTGGACCTCCTCTGGTATGGGTAAGGCGGAGCGTGCGTTGCTTCTGGCCAGATTGGACGGGAAAGACCTGGCCGATGCTGGGAGCTGTAGGGCAACAGGACGGTTTGGCTGTCCCTTTGAGGTCCCCGGGCTTTCAGAAAGTGCCGTGGTACGTGCTCCGTGGGGACGTGCTTTGCAGTAAACACGCTATTCACGGGCGCGGGGGGTCTCTGAAGGAAATGGCACAGAGCACGTTCAGCGTGAACGTCCGCGGAGCTGCTCCTGTTTCGAATCATCAAGCCAAAGCGATCAAAAAGGGGGTGGCAAGTCAAGTCCTCCGCCCCGCTTCCCACGAATTGACTGATCCCTGTATGACCCTCCAGATGCCATGCAGTGAAGGACCTCCTGGAGCTGAAGGAGTGATCCAGGCCAGAGCCCAGGGACCACTCGGGAAACAGCCTTCTCCCGGGTGCCTGTTCATCTCAGGGTTGAGGGTAGGAGACTGATGTGGGCAGAGGTGATTCTCCCATCTTTCTCCCCGTGTTCAGGCACGCGTTTGAGGGCTCTTCCTTTCCACTGGTGACCGGGTGATCAGCGTTGTGGATTAGCAACCAATTTGCAGAGTGCCCCGAAGAATGGAGTCTGCTGTAGCAGAGACAGCAAGTGCATTTCCCAGGGCAGCAAGCGATAGAAAGGAAGAGATGCAGAATGTCCCTGCTGACCCACCTCCTGCTCCAGATACCGGGGTTTCATTCTCAGAAATCCTTCACCTGATCCAGACTGGGCAGGACATCCCTGGACTCCAGAAGCTAAATATCTCTGCCACAAATGGGAGCCCAACACCATCTCAGATGACTCAGAAACCCAAGCCTTGGGAGAAAAAAACATGACAAGCAGAAATTTGTGGAGTTGGAAAGTTGAATGGAAGATTTAACTCTTACCGGATGTTAAATAAATATGTTTAGCTACTCCTGGCCTTTCAGGTTTCTAAAATAATTGACCATACTGTTAAAAAAAGAGGAGTTTGTTTCCATGAAATCCAATATCCAAAGATTAGTTCAAAGATGATTAATATATGTATGTGTTTTTTCACTAGATATAGGTGAGGCAAGGAACCAAAAAATTCCCACTCTTAGCCCAGTTCTGATTTCCCACTTAATTGTAATGTAGCTTCTTTGGTTTTGGCTTAGTGTGATGTGTGAAGCAAACCATTATTTCACAGACCATGGCTTATTATAGAAATGCCTAACCTGAGGCCCCAAAGCTGCATATGGCCTTGAAAACATTGGGCACAGCCCTAGGTTTTTACCAAGTTATTACCAAAAAGCAATTTTTATTGTAACAGAATTGGTATATTATTAAACATGATTGGAGAATAATCATATGAACTATATTTACTTTTTGTTTAATTGTAAATTACATCTAATTTAGTTTTTGTGTTGGTCTCATCCACTGTTTTTGGTGAGTGAACTTTGTATTGAAAAGTCAAGCACAGTCCTTATTGTAGAAAATATTGTCCATTCCTGGTTTATAGCTAAATATGTTGTGCAGACATAACCTTTGTATCTTATTCAACAACCACTGAATAAGCTGAAACAAACCACGCTATACTACAGTGTGTGATCTCTGTCATACATTTGAAATTTCTGCAAATAGTATCAACTAATGTTCAAGCCATTGTTACTAGAAAAAAATTTGGGGGGCTTTTTAAAAGCTGACCTTCTTTACTGAACATGGGCAGCTAGTCTTAGATTCTTAATATTTTCTGTGTTCACTGAACTCCATTTAATTAGTCTACTGTCTAACATTTCCCTCCTTTTAACAATTTTAGAAGGGAGGAATTTTCCACAGCAAATTTTTAGAGGTTTTTGTTGTTTATGTTGGCAATTTTTAGCTTTCCAAGGATTTGTTTTTTTAAAGGAGACATTTCTTTCACACTCTGAAAATGATGCAAATCCCACTAAGGTAAGAATTCCACTTACGTAGAGAAGCCAGAGACAAGATATACTTGGTTTTTAGACTAGAATGTAAAGATGTTCCAGGATAATGTTGAATTAGAGCTAGAGAAAAGCAGTTTCTGGCATCTTGTGCAATCTAAATACTTTATATGGCTATTGTGAGGGTAAAATGTTATGAATATAATTGAAATAAATACATAGAATTAAACAAATCTGTAAATATTAGCAACAATAGAGAATGTGTGACCTGCCAGATGGAGCCCAATCACTATTCCCAATCTTCTTGAGCATTTATAATGTTGCCTGGGGCCAAGAGGAGCTGGAGTAGAGCAACCAGTAGATTTCCCACACTTGCCTCATAAACTTACAAATTAAGGTTTCCAGGTGAGGAGAATGCTACGAACATATAATCTCAGGATTGGGGCCTGCTTAGTTTTTATTAAGAAATTTTTAAAAGAATAAAAACAATACAAACTTTGAGAGAGGAAAGTAAGGAAAGAAAAGTAATAAGTGAAAAATGCGAAGAAAAAGAAAAGAGAAAAAAAAAGATACAAAGAAGCAGCTTCCGGT